CCATCCGCTCGAGCATGTTCACGCACAGCGAGATCTGCTTGCGGAATGCCTCGTTGCGGTTGCGTATGAAGAGTTTGATTTTATTCAGATTGTAGGCCTGGTTGACGTCCGACTGGCGCAGCATGAGTGCCGTCGACTCCTCCAGCAGGTTCTTCTCCTTTTCGAGCTCGGTCATGAAGAGGCGTAAGTGCTGCTCCTCCTGCTTCAGCTTCTCTGCCTGCTCCTGGCGCTCCTTGAGCTCAGAAACATGCGATTCCTGCAGAGCGCGTATCTCCTTGATTTGCTGCTCGCGTATGAGCTGGCGCTCTTTCTGCTCCTGCTCGGTGCGACTGATCTCCTGCTGGAGCAGCAGCTTTTGCTGGGCAATGAGCGCCTCGCGCTCYTCACGATGCTGCTGCTGCTCGATTTGCTTGTCCAGCCAGTTGAGTTTGGCCAGCACCTCGTTGTTCGACTTGGACTGGAAGAGCAGCTTCTCGTCGTCGACGCCATGGCGCCAGCGGCCGTAGAGCTTGGCCTCCATTTCCAGTTTGCGCTTGAGCTGCTCCTGCTCCTTGATGGACTGGTTAACGCGCTCCAGCGTCTGAAGATCTGCAGTAGGTTGACGAGGCCGACGCTTGCGTCCGAGCTCCTGATCATACATGTCATTATCCTGTTCCTGCAGCTGCCGCAGCTTGGCGCGACGCTCGTTCAGCTCCTGCTCCTTTTGCTGCTGATTCTTGCGCTCCTGCAGCTTCTTGTCGGCCTTGTCATAATACGCCTGATTGGTCCAGTTCTCAAAGCGCGACGTCACCTTGCCCCAATGGTCGTAGTAGCGATTCACCTTGTGTATGGCCTCCACGCGATTGTTCTCCTGCTCCTGGCGCCAGGCATACGCCGCATGCTGATAGTTCAACCGGCCCGACATGCCCTGCAAGCAAAACAGAGAAGATGAGAGAGAGTTTGTGTGAAAACTGTGACCAGCTGTATGACAAGTTCATAAACTTCGAGACCTAGCCGTGCTCAGTCGTGCCTGAAGATGATGAAAAGCCAACGAGATGCCTTGAGTAGCAAAATAAAAAATATAAAAGAAAAATAATCTTCAATTTGCCGTTTGAATGCGCTGAATGAGAATTTGTCAAAAAGCACAAACATACGATATATTAACTTTCATAAGAACACACACTTGTATTTATTTTTATTTTTATTTTTATTTTTTATTTCAAACTTATTGATGCTTCAAATGTCGCACAGTCGAGAGGAAAATAGTGCTCTTTGAGCTCTTAGATTATAAATATCAAACTGCTCTGACATTTGGCCCAAGTGTAGAGCGATGGGAGACAAGGATTCAATATAAGAAAACAGATTCAAAACTAAGGCTTATTTATTGATATCACACAGAGGGCATAAATATCTGTAAGCACTTTAATATTGCTGAGTGTACTTCAAATCAATTTGATTCAAGTGAGAGTAAATATACTTCGCTCGAGCAGCCAAGATAATGAGAAACATAGAGAAACTTTGATAGCTACGATTAGTCATAAGTCGATGCTTTAGCAGCTTACCAAATGTAAACACTTTTATTTGCACCCTTTGCATGTTAAGCAAATGTAACGTAACGAGAGTTCCTGCTGGAGCCGGAATATGCACATTGATTCCAGCTTCCGTTGAGTGCAGCGCACTCAGGTGAAACCATTCCAGCGGGCTTTCGCTTAAGTAACTGTCAGGAAGCTGTTAGTTTTAAGCAACAGCTGCTGAGCTGGGACTAGATCAGGCCAGCCAGCCAGGCGAACGTCTCAATCTCGGCCCGGTCTGGCTGGGTCCGCTGTATCGCAGCACGCCGCCAAAAATTCAGGCTTGTTAGAGATTAGATATGGCGCGCTTTACGCTGTCCATGGCAGCTCGGTGAATTTTTTTCCCCTAGTTTTTGGTTTCTGCCTGGCAGCAGCTGTCACTAACTGCCAAGCGAGCAGCCAGACAGCAGGCAGGCGTAGGAGCAAAAGCAAGAGCCAGAGCCAGAGCCAGAGCCAGAGCCAGAGCCAGAGCTAGAGCAAAGCCATCGTAACCAACCAGCCAGCCAGCTAACCAAACTCGCAAAAGCTGTTGCTTGGCGAATGTCACCACCACTCCACGCACACTCCGACTCCTGGGTTGATCCCAGCGAGTTTTGAGATACAGGCAACTGTCCATCCCAAGCGTCCATCCATCAACGTGGCCCCATTGCAATATGTCAGAGGCCTGAACATTGTGCGTGCCTCGAGCTACGTTTCGGATACCGCTGAAAAACAACCCACCACACAGCACGCACCACCCACCCCCAGCCCTCTAGAGCCAGCATCCAACACATTCGCCGGCATCGGGATGCAAATTGGCGTTGGCGTTGCGTGGACGGCGGGCTTGCTAATTTTCTGCGAGATTTATGGGCAGCACGAAGCGCATTGATATATGCCAAATTGTTTACAAATTGATTACATTATTAATAATGCCCACAGCGGTGGCGGCAGCAGCAGCACCACAGCAAGCACCACCCGTTCGCAGAATGTTGCCGTTTGGTTTATACAAAATGCATAATATATTTCCCACAAAGTACTTCTTATGTCATGTGACTGACAAAACTTTGCCAATAAATCAAGCAACGGTGCGAACAAACTGGCTGGGGTAGGGGAGGGCGGCAGTGGGTGGTAGGAGCTAGTCTGTTGCTAGGAGTGGCACACGTGTGGCCGCCCACATTTCAATCGAGCGGGCGACAGTTGAGCCCACAGCTCAAATGCCAAGATGACGCCCAAATAGACTTAATACACTTTCGGCACACCAAATTCACTTCCTTAATTGAAATTTTAATTTGAATACTTTGCCAAAGTTTTGGCATTCAGCCCAGGATCATAGAGTGGAGTGGAGCGGGCGGGTAGGAAGGCGTGTCACAAGATACACACACACAAAGACACATTCGCACAATAACAAAAACAGGCAGACAAACAAGCAAAAGTCGCTGCTGTCGCCAACAAGGAGCAACCAGTCAGCCAACAGCCAACAGCTCCTCCTGCTGTTCCCCTGCTCCTACTCGTGCTGCTCCTGCTGGTGCTGGCTGGCGTCTGCTCGCAGAGTCCTGGATATACAGCAATCTCACAGGCTCAGCGCTTTTCAATTTACGCGCCACGCAAATCGTTTGTCATTTTATGTATGCCTTAATATATGGCATGTGCGTGTCGTGGCGCCCGCTCTGCCATCAGTGAAGAGATCTAAAATACCACGCCTAGCCGCCCACCGGTAAACCACACTCCTTGCCCTCAAGAGCGTAATTTCTAACCCAAATGCTAACCAGCCAGCGTAACTAATCCGCCCAGGCAATGATATAAGCGCCAACTGATGAGTCGCTGCTTGCCAAAACTTTGCCAGATGTATATATTCATATAAGCATGTGCGTACATATAGATATGTGTATGTATGTATAAATATACGGCTATAGATGAAGTTGTATTTCTGACTTTCAGACTGCTCGTCACGGAAATTTTAATTGTCACTTTATGCTCAAGAGCTTTGCAAGCCAAATGTGCTATAATTCTAATAATCAGCTTAAAGTATTTTTTATATGCTTTGAAGATAATTAGAAATCGGCTCACTTATGTTAATTAAATTATAATAAAAATTGTTCTTTATTTTTAGTTTAAATTTTTGATATAGCGAAGATATTGAAAATGTTTATATTATTTATTTACTTTATTTTTTTTGTATATATCTAATATATATTGTATTTATTATAATTTTTACAATTCAACCTTAACAAGAGCTAAGCCAACATTTTGACTTACTAATTCTCTGCTTCTGATTACTATGCAATACTGTGATTAAATAATTAGTTAAATAACTAATAAGAAAGCCATACAGATCTCATATGATCACATAAATGATATTTGTACTAGCCAAATTTTAATTGACACAGCTCGATTCTCTATACTACCTACTCCAATCAGTCAACTCGCAATACTAAATGATCCAATCAGAGAATCACTGTTCGAAGATCCAAATTAAATACAACTTTGCACAGCAAGAGATAAGCGTGACACTCGGTGATGACTCGGCGACTGGAACCTGATATGTGTGGAGCGAACACAGTTAGCTTATGTATGTTTAGCTAGTATATATGTATATACACATACATACATATATAGAGCACATAACTCGGACGAGTTTGAATGAAGCCAACAGCCTGCCTGCGTCCATTGTTCGTTAATTAAGTCATTTTGGCCGATAAACCACAGGGTAAGGTGCTTTCGGCTTGTAGCCAAATGGGCGGCTGCTTGAGCAAATAAATTGCAATTACTTTTGCTAATTGTAATAGACGCTTGTCATTATCTAACAGCTGCATAGATAATGCTTCGCCTTCTGGTGAATACCCTAAAAACAATGTGATTTTTATAGCTGTGAACCTTTGAACAAAAATGAAATACATATGTACGTATATAGATATGTATATATTTGTATATACATATATAAATATATAAGTGAAGAGCGTGTCAGACCGCAGTTAGCGAATCATAGCACTTAATACTCTGATAAGATGTACGATTAGCGTGGACAGTCGCATGGTAAATTAAAAAAAAAATTTATATAAGACCAAAGAAGAGAGCAACAAATTTGGAGCGAGAACACACGCTGCTGATATACCTTAACCACGACAACTTGGACGAGAATATACTAAGTAACATAGGTATGCGACAGTATTCATAAATATATTGTAGGATTTCTTATCAAATACCACTTATTCATGAATACTGAATCTAACTGAATCTATGTACATATTAAATACAATTTTATTCATGTACACGTAGTTCAAGTACGATTTTAAATATTTCTGCCCATCGAAGACTAATGTGATTCTCAATATTCTTCATAGCTTGGGCCTACTTTATAGGGTGATGCACATGCCCTATTTCGATTTCAGGGTATTTAGCGCACTAAACGGCTTCGGCATTGGCATCGACTGTTCGAGTGTTTCGGTTTCCCGGACACGCTTCGCATTGTTGCTTAGCTGTTTTTCAGAATTGTTTTGGTTGTTAACGACATTGGCACGACGATGGGCGACGAGCGGTCTGAATGTGGGTCGGTATCTGGCTCCAATTGGGGGGTCTTGCACGCCGTCACACGGCAAGACAAACAACAACAGCAGCCACAGCCGCAGCAAGAAAAGGAACATCAGCCACTGCGTATAATTTGTGGTAAGTGCTGTGCCAGCAAGACAACTAACCATTTGAACTACTCCATGTGTCTATTGTGACCTCTACGTCAAAATTTCCCCTTGTTTGGCTTAACAAAATAAACTAAGTAAATAGAGAAGTGTGGGGATTTTTCTCGCTTGCGTGTTTACCTTCCCACATAAACACACAGAGAGCCAAAAATATTGGCTAGCAAACGACTTAAATTTCCTTTTGATGATGGCCATCTGGAGGCTGCGGTAATCCCCCCAAGAACATATAAATATATAGCTGGTTGTGCGTGCTAGTTGAATGAGAGATTGGCCTAATCAAGAGCAAGCAGGAAAAAACTAGTACAGCGAACCCATAATACACTACACGATGTTCTCTAACTAAATCAAGGTTGTTTAGAAGTCAATAGTTTTTGGCAGATAAGATACCCACAAAAAATGAAACAATTCATTCATTTACGACTGTAGCTTGAAAAACAAGTTTATTTTATTTTGAGTGAGAGATCTACAACTTTGTTTTAATTCTCACATTGCCAAAAATGTTTTTAAAATAACACATTTGCCAAATTTAAAATAAAAATTTGAATTTCATCTAAAAAAAAGGAACAAAAATAAGCTCGAGCATGCCCAAAAAGTCAATAAGTCATCTGCATAGATAAATAGACTTTCGATAATTAGATATGAATATAAACAAAATATCTTATAAGCGTCACAAGCGCCATTACAGCATGGAAATGCTTTGCAAAATACTGAAGAGCAGACAATGAAATACTGATATACAAAAACTGCTAATTTATCTATCAAAACGCAGCGCATTGACTAAAGCAATTTAACACATACATTCGCTCAGTGCTTCCCCTCGAAATCAACAAGGGACTTCCCCAAAAAAATTCCAGATGGCTCAAAAAAAAAAAAATAATAATAATAATAAAAATATTTTAACGACAGAATCAAGAATACTAAAGAGCGTGCGGGGCAGACAAACAGAAGAGCAGCTTAGTGCAAGACAGTGATAGGCCATTCAGAAGCGCAGTTCACAAAGTTCATGTAATCGATAAGATCTTGGGTAAAGAACCAAGGGATATACTATAGTGCAGATTAAAGAACTTATGTAAGTGTAAACACAGCTGTGACTTCCACTTGAATATAATTGCCCAAGAGTTGTTAGCTAATGATAAACGCAAATAAATAATATTCACATTGCAAAAATCACACGATAGTTGGCGTCACGGGCAAAAGCTGGCTGCTATACACCTTGGCAACGAATCGTTGTTTGCGAATAACTAGCATATGCGCATATGTTTATCTAAGATTTGATTAATGTTGTTCTAAACTTAATATTTATTGTCGCACAACCTTGCTGAGCAAGCCTCACTAGCATAAGTTAGGCCTTTCACTCAAGGTGAGCAGCGTTGGGTAAAAATATCATAATCGCACAATGAGCGCACTATAAAGATTATTCACCAAAGAATCTATCTAGCCAAAGTCTAAATCCAAGCAAAATGACCGATAAAATGTATATTGAGAAAGACCTAGAACACAATGACTTGACATAAACGCAATATCAAGAATATGTCGACATGTCGAAAATGAAATACAGCGAGCAGTATATTAATGAGCTGTTCATTTAGACAAGTCTAATAAATACATCACATTTGAATTGACAGTTCTTCATTTCATTTAATTTACAAGTTCTGTACAATAGGAAATCGTCTCTCTGTCAAATTGGAAAGTACAAATGTAAATTTAACTAATCTGATGAGAGTCATTGGCTTCTATACTATACAAACAAAAAACATGATAAATGAATAATTAACAGGCGATTAGTTAAGGGCCTGCCAGACATGACTCATGCTCGAAACTTTCGATTGGCCTAATGCAAAACGTTGCAAGGTTCAGCTGTCATCCGATACACGGGTTGTCATTCATGCCATCGAGAAAGGGTACAGTGAAAAGCGAAATAAAAATACCCGCAACCTGAGTGCAAGCAAAAAGTACCGTTCAGCGGGCCATGTAGACAGCAAAACGAGCGGAATGTCATGTTTTATAAAAGAGGTCGACTGAAAATTTTGCGAAATTTCACATGTAAATCACACACAGGAATTCGAACCTACATCAGTTCTAACGGTGCGTATAAAATTAATTAATAAAGCGCGTGCCTCGACAGTGAGAGAGACAGAGACCACACAGAGACCAAAACCCAGTGAATAGAATTGATAACATTATCAGAAAATTGAGAGCCAGCCGATCGTAGCCGAGGCGACGGCAGCAACAGCAACAAACGATTGAGCTGAGCGGAAGCGAGCGCATCGGAGCGGCAATGAGCAAATCGAACGAGCCGTAGAACAGCGACGCCGACTGAGCGACCGCGACCGCGACCGCGAAGCCGACGCAGACGCTGGCGCTGGCGCTTGGTAATAAATTTCATACGATTTAAAAATTGTTTGGCATTGCGCGCAGGCAACAACAGCGACGTTGACGTCGACAGCGCTGGTGCGAAAAAAAAAAAAA